CTGTTATAAAGTGTGCTTCCTTGCACAAATTATCTGCTTGCAAAAAGCCAGCTTTAAATGAAAATATCATTATTTTGCTCTAAATATAAACGACTGATCTAATTATTTAAATTTCACAGTTATAAAAATTTAAATTGAATTTGACTACCTTTAAAACAAAACAGATTAAAAATTGTGATAAAAACTATCTTTGGGTAGAATGTGGTATTAACACCTCAAAGAGTTTATTATTAAAGATTCAAGAAATTTTAAAAAAATCATTAAAATGTAAAATAGTATGAAAATAGGAGATAAAAAAGAAACTGCAATTTGATATAGGTGTGTGCATTTTAATTTAATGAGTGAAGCTAAGTAACTACAGTAGACCTATTAGTTTAAGAATTAATCCCAGAAATTAAAAGCATAGACCATGAGCTGTTCAAAATCGCAAAGCTAAATCTCAAGATAAAAATTTTTCTTTAATAAATAATAAACTTATTTATTAAAAATACTGCTGTATATTATTTCACTACATCACTTTCGCGTGAGTCTTGTAACAAATATTCCATTCAAATAGCAATAACGTTTATTTGCTAGACCCCCAAAAGAGGTTGTCGAAATATTTAAAAAGAAAAACAAATTTTTAAGTACTTAAAGTTTTTCTCTTCCTCGAGAATCAGTTCTATGCGAAAAACTAAATAGTATATTTAATAGGTAATTAATATTAAATAGTATATTTAATAGGTAATAATAGGGTATTATAGTACAGTATTATCTGATAATGCATTTATTAAGTTAAACTAAGTTAAACATTTGACTATTATAAATTGCTAAGTAAAATAATTGTTATTTTGTATAATATAACAATGTTTTCTTAAAAATTTTATTTGCTTAATATAAGCCTATTTAACCTTTAATACCGTAATCAATATTTTGTTTCAGAAGCTTCTGCTTCAAAAGTTTCATCGACTTTTTAGATTTTATCCAATCCCAAATATGCCAGATAAATTTATAGTTATAGAGATCAATATCGAGTGCTTTGTAGAACTCAAAATTATGTGTCTAGATAAATTACAAATATATCCCCCATATTTATATGTTACAACCAGACGAAGCATTCTTTCTGCAGTCGAATGGTGAGCACTTTTTAAATACTTAAAGGCAAAACTCTCAGCGCAAAAGGTACACTCTAAACATAGAAAATAACGAGGCATAGTGGAGTTTCCGGTTGTCCCTTCGAGCGCATCCCACCCCATCCTTACTCCCGGGTGGCAAGTATTTATTGGCCTCTATTACCCTCTCATACATCTCAGTCATTCTTCCTCCTCACTCCCCAGCCCGTGCAAAACCTTATACCAACGACTGATGACACAACGCAGCTACCGCGTTACACAATCGAGTGCAAAATTAAAAAATTCGTACGTTATGCCGAATTTCTGAAAAAATAACAGAAAGATGTTAATGAAATTTGGTACCATCATACATCTGTAAATGAGAAAGAGCTGTACCATTCAAAAATCATTTTATAATTTTGTCATTTTATTGTATGTACTCATAAGTCATTTTATTTTATGTACTCATAAGCTCATGGTGCAGGGATATCCAAAATCCACGTTTTGATATAGAACTGAAAATGAATCTAATATGGGGTATGGTCCCCTCTCACAGCCAGATGTGTCGCGCAGTGTCTGGGCATACTGGACAGGAAGCAGTTCAGGAGTCCCTGTAGCAATCGATTCCACTTCTGCAGCAAGACAGTTTTCGGTTTATGGCAAGATGAAATTGCTTTTACAAGAGCGTCCTAAACATGCTCCATAGGGTTAAAGCTAGGAGATTTGGCTGGCCAATACATGCGACGAATATAATCACTTTCCATGTAATCATCAGTCTGCTGATCCCTATGTGGATGAGCGCGTTATCAACAGTAACCCAGGAACAACTGCACCTCTGAAAAGTCCAGCATAGCGCTTTACAATCTCCTTTCTATACTTCATAGAAATCAGGAAGCCGTTGCTCAACACATGCAGGGGTGGCTTTCCAACATGACTGCCTGCCCAAGCCACTACACCTCCACCATCAAAATGATTCCTTTCCCTGATGAGGGAAGAATGGTATCGGACTCCAGGCTCTCTCCAGATAAAGCTACGTCGAGAATCAGTGTCCAATCTCTATTCATCCGTAAAAAGCCCCATGTTCCTCTGAAGTTTGGTCCAAAGCGCATGTTGTCTGACTCATGCTAAACGCGCTGTTTTGTGTGCTGCAGAAAGCGCGAAGCAAACAAGCGTGTCTTCTGGCATTCAGGCTGTACATCATGAAGTCTTCGAGCAACTGTAGACCATGAACTCGGGTTTCAGTGGCAGCATACAGCTCACATGGAAGCTGTGAAATTGTATCAGTCCTGTGTCGCAGCGTTAAGAATATTTATAACGTGGCTAGAAACTTTTCTTAATGGCGAAAGACGATTCAGCAAGTTTAAAACAATAATAATAATAATAAAGGTTTATAATTATCTTTTATTAATCAAGGAAGATGCCGAATATTGGCATTATCTCTAAAACGTGTATTAAGTTATCGATTAGATTTTGAGGAAAATATTGGCGATATTTGCAAGAAAAGTTACGTTATTAAAAACTGCCAGAAAAATTGGTTCAATACTTTTCATTACATAACTGTTTATATTAATGCAACGTTATACCCCATTTATGGAAAAGGAATTTTTAATACTTTTATTACAAAACTGTAATTCATTATATGTGTCACGCTTCTGAATATACGAAACTATGTTCAAATAATTATTGTAAAAGTTAATGGCATTATGATTTGAAATAGTTATCTTTAATGAATATAAAACTAACCTGCGTTAGGTGTAATATAATATATATATATATATATATATATCTTATTTCTTTTACCTGCTTATTATTGTAGTAGTTTATTTTTTACCATCAGATGACCATTACCTTTGTATTGCATATAAGGGAGAGCATTTCCTTCTTTGCCTCAGGAAAAATATCGTAATGGACTAAAAATTCATAAAATATTATATAACGAATTTACATTTTAGTGGCTTCATGGCTCAGTATGATATATATTAGGGAAAAATTCATCGATCTCATAGTTTAGAGAGCTTTTAGTTCAGTTCTGATTGATTTTTAGTTCAGAAAGAAAATTTCATCAGTATGGGAAACGACCTGAGAAGCATGTGATGAATCATCACCCTGCCTCTGCCTGAAAATGAATAGCTTACGCATTTGTAGCACGTTCAAATGGGGCGCGTCCTATGGTGGCCTCCACCTGCCGATCTGAATGCCTTAATCCTCTATATGTCAGCTAATGAGATGGTGACAGAGATAATAGAGTGGCGAGTGAGCCTAGACAGTCCCTTAAGGCTTTAACTTATAAAACCGTTAGTGTCCTGAGGTCACACGTTATCCATTTCCGAAGGGGCGGTTTGGGGAAATTTTCGTGGTTGGGGATGTTGGAATATGATGCGATTAAGTCATAATTTACAAAAAAATTATAGAAATTATTACTTTTCGAATTTAAAACGCAAAACAAATTAAAAAGGGTTCGTTGCAAAATACGGTTTAATTGCCAGTTTAGGCTTCCGATAGCTTGTAAGTTATCAAGTTTTCGAAAAATATAGGTTCATACATTTACATGCATATGAGTTGATTAACTAATGTCTTTTCATTATCATTTCATGACGTTTGAATTATAAGGTATATTTCGTGTCCCAAATATTTACAAAAGTAATCTCAAATATTCTTATAAATATTTTAAACATTTACCGAAATAATATAATTACTATGTTATAAAATAAAAATAGAATTAATCTTAAATAAATTTCTGATTAAAATATGAAGGGTCAAAATAAGCAGTAAAAAATATAAGAGAAAACTAGAAATTAGTATATTAGTTCATGCACATCAGACATTCTTCCAATCGTAACAATATTGATTCTAAGTGCGAAATAATAAACTGAATCAAAATTATGCACACAAAAAACACAAAGGTTTCTTTAATAATCAAGTGTCATTTGTTGCTAGTAACAATTAAAAGAATGATACGAAATACGGTTTTTAGGAATGATATATATCATTGAAAATAAACTTATCAATGATCCACTGAAGTTTCACACACGTTTGTACAATATTTGTGTATAGCTAATACAGAGTTAAAAATTCAAAACTATAAATTTTATTAAGAAATTATTTATTTACATATATGTTAAAAGATCTATAAAATTTCTCGGTCTGTATTTTCATACGAACATGAGAAATACCAGACATGAGAAAAACATGAAATGTTAAGATGAAGTTATTTGTTATAGTTACTCTAATTGCGAATACAATAATATACTTCTACACCTGGAAAAGAGATTATATTTAAAAAATGCTGCTACAAAAATTCACTTAATCAATACGATAATGTATAATGAAACTCGATGAAATAATTGGCAAAATGCAGTATAAAACTAGCACTCTCAGCCAGACTTCAAGCATTCCTACCATTCGACGAGTTACACCTATTCTTAACTGCTCCTAAAAACCCTAGTCCCATCTGCGGCCAATTGAGAAAGATCGCTGAATACTGAAAATCTGACCTGAGTTCGATTCCAGGCAAACGGGCTGGCTACATGGTTGGTTTTTGTGCTTTTCCTCACGTGAATAAAATCGAGTTTAATCTTGAAAAATACCCAAAAAGGCATCCATTCCCCTAAACAGATAATGCTCATATCCTTTGCTATATTCAAATAACTTAAGGGACCCTAATGTACTGTACTTTGATGCTAGATTTATAATCTGTCATCACCTGGATCTGACTGATTGGGCTTCATGCTTCTCCTTAGTCTCCCTTTGTATAGGGAAGAATGTAAGGAATTATTGCATTTCCCATGAGTGATCTTGGAGTTGTAAAAAAGGGTTAGCATATCTAATTAATGTATATACAAGGTGTGTTCGAAAAGTTCGGTGAATTTTACCATAAAAAAGGAAACAAGAGAAACAAGCAAAATAGCTTTACTGGCCTTCAAAGTATTCGCCATTAGCAACAATACACTTTTGAAATCGGGTGTACAATTGTGGGAAACTGTCTGAAAACGCTTCTTTCAGTATGGCTGGAAGCACCGTTGTCACACGTTGTTGGATCTCAGTAATGTCGGAAAAGAGTTGGCCTTTCAGAACTCCTTTGAGGCTGGGAAACAGGAAGAAGTCCGCGGGAGCCAGATCTGGAGAATATGGAGGGTGATCCAAAACTGGAACCTGGCGCCTGTCGAGGAATTGGGTTACACGGATCGCAGTGTGCGGCCGGGCATTGTCATGGAGCAGATTCCACTGTCCATTCCGGTACTGTGGCCGAATCCGGCGTATGCGTAGCAGCAGCCGTTTCAAAACCACCTCGTAGTATTCCGCATTGACGGTTGTAGCCGCGGGTACAAATTCACGATGGATCAAACCCTTACTGTCGAAAAAGACGATCAACAACGTCTTGATCCTGGATTGTGTCAAACGACTTTTTTGGGGTGGGGGTGACGACGTTGAACACCATGCCATGGATTGCCGCTTGGTCTCCGGATCGTATTGATAGCACCACGACTCATCCCCTGTAATTATTGTTTCCAAGAATTGCGGATTCCGGTCACACATGTGGATAAAATCTCCAGAAGTTTCCATCCGGTATTGCTTTTGCTCGTCTGACAGCGAGTGCGGTACAAACCGGGCGCACATCTTACGTTTATGTAAATGTTTGTGCACAATGGTGCTCACACTGTCTAGGCTTATCTGCAATTCGCCAGTTATAATTCTTAAAGATAGTCGTCGATCTGCCGCAAGCATCTGTCGTTCCACATTGTCAGGAGTTGTGCTTGTTGTAGGGCGCCCCGACCGCGGCTCATCTTTGACATCATCCTTTCTGTCTGTAAAGCGTTTAAACCACTAATAAACACACTTTTTACTCACTGCTTCCTGAACTTTCACTAACATGTCATGTGTCTCCGTCGCCGTTTTGCCTAACTTGAAGCAAAACTTTATGTGTATGCGTTGCTCCATGTCACACTGACAATCTTTCTCACACTGACTGTGTTAAACTGCTCATAGCGTGCGCTTCCTCTTATCTGTCGTAAAATGGCCGTTAGATGGTTCTAGATGACATTTCTCTCACTGCGTCTGCGTGAGTGCAAGATCCTAACCGGCGCGGTTTTTTAATTATGAGACCAATCACCGAACTTTTCGAACACACCTTGTATATACGTATGTAAGATTCGTGGTTCGAATCCTGAAGAGCATGTAATTTACTTTCTCCACTTCTAATTCCGAAAACGATAATAGTACATATAAAAGAGATTTAAATTCTTAAATAACGCCCTGGTAAAAAAAAAGGGGGTAAATATGAGAAATATTTTAGAGAAACGAACCAAATATTACAAATAAGACTTAGTTTAGCATTACGCTCTGTAAATATCCTTGCGTGCAAAATAATTTTCATGAGAAGAAAATTCTTTGATTTGAAGCAAAAAATAACTTCATTTATGATAAGATATTGAGAATTTCTGCTTTATATAACATCAAATAGAGAAAGCTTAATGTAATAAGAATAAATTTGAAAGAATTAGAAAGCTAGTAAAATCAGTTTTAACCAAACTTCTAACAAAGACTCTTACTTCATAACTTTAATATAGCTTTGGTTAAAATAATCAGCATAAATTTTAATATATTGTTGCGTGCGTACGGGTTCGTTTGAATTGAATGCACAAGTCCGATTTAAAAAAAAAATTATTTTTACCACAACAAACAAAACAAAATGCTTCAATTTCTTCAGATATTCGTACAGTTTTACAATATCTCACAGAATTTATCTTTTAACTACTCAAACGTTCAACAGAACTTACTTCAAAACACCTGCTAATCCACAAATTCGCTACAGTCAACAAGAGAAATTTTCGAAACAAACTCTTAAAACAACAACAAATTGACTAACGAATTGAGATGTCTTAACTTCGGGTAAGAGGCAATCGGCCTATTGCGGCCTTTACCAATATAGTATTCTTGACTTTTTTAAATCTTGAGGACCAAGGGATTTGAATCCACTAGAATGAAAAGTAACTGTACACATACTGTGCTAGAATTCAGAGATTTTTAATGGAAGCTCCAGTGCCGCTATTTGTTGAGAGATAAGTAAACTTAGAAGATACGAAGGTGCTTATGTGGCTCCATCTATTTTTGAAAATGAAAAGCTTCTTAGTATACTAGTGCTCCGGTGGCGTCATCTCTTGTAGGTTGCATTGTGAGGCATTTTGAAAAAAAAAAATTCCTACTATTCTTTAGACAAGCAATTATTGGCAAATGATTATATGATGAAATAGCATAGTTTGTCACAGTAGAAGACGGTTCACAAGAAGAAAACTATATACACACTAAAGTCCATACCTGCTTTGGCAGGGACAAAGTCCACAGCGTTTTGTAAAGTAATGAAGTAAGATGAAAAGTAATAATAATAAAATAAAACTTGGCTAAATAAGTAAAGAACGAAAATATATCTACAATTTCCACCAACTATTGTGGTGAACAGTACGGAGTCTTTTGTGGCTTTGTTCTACTGTGTAATCATAATTTCCGAGTTTTTTAATAATGTTTTCAGGATGATTGTCGCACTACGCAAAGCCGTTATGAGATAATTTTAAAATTTCTGCATCTGTTGGTTTTATTTTTAAGTAGTTGTGTAAGGTGCTATTCCGCACAAACCAAGGTGCATTTGTAATTATTCGAATTGCCTTGTTTTGAATCTTTTAAATTTTTGTGCGGTGAGTTCTTGCAGTAGCAGCCAAGCTGGAGATCCATAAAAAAGAATGGGACGTATTGCCTGAAGATTAGAATTTCTTCCTATGAGCGCATAAATACTTCCTATTGCTTGATTAGCTTTTTTGCATGTATTTTCAACGTGATCTTTGGATGTGAGTTTTTGATCGAGATCTACTCCTAAATACTTGATGCATTTTTCATTGGGAATAGGGATGTTAGTGATGATAATACACTGGTGGTCAAAACTTAAGCAACAATGTAAATTTTAATCAGAGAGCCATGAAACTGCAGAAAAGGGGGTTCTTGCCATCAGTACAATGAACACGCGATTCAATAGAAAGGTCACGCGTATGCAAATGTCAGGAACAAAACATCACAGGCGACGTGAGTGTACGCAAATCACGTGCGGTCGACGCACTCAACTCAAGACTACAATAAAACCAAGGAAAGAAACGCAATTAAAGAAATTCGCTGCAAGTTCAAGTGAGTTTTTTCGTGAAATATGGCTAGAAGAAATCACCTGGATGACTTCACACATGGCTCAATGATCGAAAAGCTGGAGGACGTAGTGTAATCAGTATAGCTGAAGAGTTCGGAATCAACAGAAGTGCCGTTTTGTGCGCTTGGAAAGCCTTCCAAACCATAGGTGCAGTTGTTAGAAAGGTTGTTGGTGGCCGCGTCAGGAAAACAACTGCAGTGGATGACTGATATATCATTTTGCAGGCGAAAAGAGTCTGAAACCAGTCAACAAGCGCCATAGCTCAGCAGCTGTATACAGCAACGGGACGACAAGTGTAGCGGTTTACTGTGTCCATACGCCTTCATAAAGGTGGCCAATTCGCCCGCCGTCCTGAACGCTGCATCCCTTTGGAAGTTGGTCATCGCTGCTACGTTTAGAGTGGTGAAAGGAGCATAAAAACTGGACATCTCATCAATGGTGTCCTCTTTATGAATGAGAGTCGTTTTAGTGTCACAAGCGATTCTCAACGCCATTTGATTTGCGGAGAGGTCGGGACCCAGTTTCATCCCAGTAACATCATCAAAAGAGACCATTACGGTGGTCTGGAGACCTCGTCTGGGAAGGCATTATACTGAAGGGGAAGACAGAGCTCCACGTTTTCGACAGAGGTTCTGTAACCGGAAATCGTTATTTGTCAGGAGGTGATCCTCCCCCATGTGCGTCTGTTCTGAGTTGTCACTGGAGCAGACGTCGTTTTCATGGATGATAATGTACGTCCACACCGGACTCCTACTGTTCAGAAGTTACTGGAAAGTCAAGATATCACTCGAGTGGATTGGCCAGCGTACTTCCCTGATTTAAATCCCATATAACATGTGTGGGATGCTTTGAGGAGACGCCATCTGGCACGATTACATCCTCCGGGGAACCCAACAATTGAAACAGATACTGATTGAGGAATGGGCACTCTTATCTCAAAATCTGTTGGGCAATCTGGTGCTGAGTATGGAGAGACGGGACGAAGCAACCATTGCAGTAAGGGCATGGCATATCCCATACTGAGGAACATCTGCTTGTTGCTCCTCGTCTTGTACAGACAATGATGTGTAACAATGCTATGAGTTCAAAAAAGCCTCTTTTTGTTTGAATTTCATGTCTCTCAGATGATTTCTCGTGGAGTTCTGGCAAAAAGAACACCTGTTGCTTAAGTTTTGCACACCAGTGTACTATTGAGATGTCTTCTAGGGTTCTTTCGAAAATAAATTGTACTTGATTTGCTTTCGTTAATTTTAATTTTCCATTCACTGAACCATAGGAAAATATAATCTGTTGCATTTTGTAAGTTTGAACAGCTCTTTGAGAGTTGATGGATTTGCTGAGAATGGCAATGCCGTCTGCATAGCAGGTGATAATGGCATCTTTGTGGCTAGGAAGATCGTTTATATACATATTAAAGAGAAAAGGCGAAAGATTCGAGCCCTGAGGGACACCAGCATTCATATAATTGATATTTGAGAGTTCGTTCTTAATACGAACTTGAAAAGTTCTGTTTGCCGAAAAACTAGAAATTAGAAAGATTAGTCCAGGTGGGAAATTGTTGCCGATAAGTTTGATAAGGAGGCCTGGATGCCAAACCTTATCAAACACTTTCTAAATATCAATAAAGATCCCAGCAACCGTTTCGTTTTTATTGAAGGCCTCACCGATAATTTCTGCGATACGAGTCACTTGCTGGGTAGTGCTAAATCCATGCCTGAATCCAAACTGATGTTCCTGAATTATGTTGTTGTCTTTGCGAATTTTGTAAGTCTATTGATAACTAATTTCTCAAATAATTTTCCAATTGCTGAAAAGATATTGATGGGTCTCTAATCTGAGGTGGACGTTCAGTTTTCCCCAGGTTTCTTTAAGTCTATTATAATGGCGTGTTTCCATTGCTTAGGAAAAAATCCTAAGCGTAGGCAAGCATTGAAGATGTAATAAAGTTGAAGGATGGCGTTTCTTGGAAAATTGTGAATTGTCTTATTGCTAATTTGCTCAAATCCTGCTGATTTCCTTGGTTTTAATTTTCTTATTAATTCTGTAATTTCTCTGGGAGAGGTGTGTGGGTTGGTATGATTCTTAAATTCTTCTAACTTCTGGGTCACTGTCGAATCATTTGCGATCATTTGCGAATCACTGATTACAAAGTTATTCCAACTGCCGTCTTTATATTCTTTGATCAGATTTTTTACGGTTCCGTTAGCTTGAATGAAGTTGCGTTTATCGATTGGGTCTAACGTTTTATGATAAATTTTTCTCATCCTGTTCCTTTCTTTTATCTTGTTAAGGATGTGTGCTGGAAGGGTGAATTTTTCAGGGTGAATGGCAGATTTGGACTTATTAAGCGTTTCGTGAATGTTATTATTAAACTTTTCTATTGCATCTTCAATATCTTGAAGGGTATTTAAGTCTTTATTGATAATAGTGTCCTCTTGCATAAGGTAACTGAACCAATTTATTTTGCTATTAAATGGTGGAAGGCCAAAGCTTAACCCATAAAGGGTAAAACGTACAGGAAAATGATCTGAGGATAAAAAATACGGTTATCGATAAAAAGATACGGTTGCTAGTTGATGTTGTCAGTAATGAGTAGATCGAGGGTGTCTTTGCATTCGTATGAAGAAGAGACAAAAGTTGGATCAGTTGGAGCATGAATGTTCACATCCTTAAATTGGCAGTAATTATACAGAGTAATGCCATCAGGGTTATTGTTTCTGGAATTCCAAACTGCATTTTTTTTTCAGTTAAAGTCCCCCGCTATAAGAGTGGGGAATCCTAAATTTACTATGGCGTCCAGGTCTTGGGTATTGAGATGAGATTGCGAAGGTTTATAAATGGATACTATTAAATAGTTGGTATTGTTGCAGGGTAAAATACAAGTGCAAGCCTCTATGCTATTAAAAGCAGGGAGAGGGTACGCGTTGCTTTTAAGTTAACTTTTTATGACAATTGCGGCTCCACCGCCTCTATGAAGACGATCAGTTCTGTAGATGTCGAAATTTGGGATTTTTAGTTTATCAGTGCAACGTAGGTTAGTTTCATTAAGCATGATTACGTCTAAGTTATCCTTGGAAATCTCTGAGTGCTAGTAATTGATTCTTAACCCCATTACAATTGAAAAACATGAATTTTGCGTAACAGATCTGTTTTAAATTTTTGGTAAAATTATCTCTGTTGTAATTAATTATGTTCGTGGTTTATTAAAAGCCTTGCAGCCTCGAGGGCGATATTCAGTCTGAAGAATCTGCTGCTTTTTTACTTTGTTGGTACATATTATGTAAATTTATGATGAAATTCTTAAATTCGTCAAAGTTGTCTTCTTTTTTTTCTTAATTTTATTAGGTATATTTTTGGAAAAGTTAGTTTTCTTGCTGCTTGGAGGGGCTGCGGCAACAGCGGCATGTGATTGATTGGTTAAAGGAACTGTTTTCCTGATTGGTAGTCAGTAGTTGTCTTTAATTTTGTTGGTATTAGATTTATTAAAATTGCTATCATCAATTCCAGGTCGCTTGGGATATTCCTCGTTGCATGCGGGGTGAGGTCCAAGACATAGAATACACGTTGGAACAAAATTTTTCTTAAGTCTAGATGGGCACTCTTTAGATTTGTGAAAGTCAAGACATCTCACGCATCTAGGAGGGTTATGGCTGGCTCTTTGAGAGTGACTGCACCTTTAGCAGTTAAAATACTGCGTAGATCTCGGTCTACTCTTATAACCTCTTATTTTAACATACATATCCATAATTTTCCTGACGTGGAATATCTTCTTACCCTCGTCTGTCTTAGTAGGCGCTTCGGCATAGAAGACAAGGAGATATACAATGATGCCCTCTCTGGTCCGCTGCAGTTGTCTAACTTTTGAAACTTTGCTGCGATTCAAGATCTTCTTTGATTTCATCCGCTGTAATATCATCAGATAATCCTTTTATTATGGCGCGAACGCATTTTTCGGCGTTTGACAAATCAGTGTGAAATGGTATGGCCTCTTTTTGGAAGTAATCCTTTATTTTCCTGTAGTCTTCTGAGTCACAAACTTTAATTACTAAGTTGTCCTCTTAAGTATATCTTTAGTGAATTTGCGTAAGTCTTTCCAATTAATATCTTTAGTGATAACTAAAGGTGGGATTTTCCCGGCATATTTATTTGGTTTAACAAAAGGTGCATCATTTGTGTCAGTCTCATCCATTTTCTCATTTCCCTGTAGGAATGTCAAGATTTTGATTAGTGCATTGAATTTATTGCTAAGTTGTGTAGGGGGAAGGTTATTATCTGAGTCAGATAGCTTTCTCGCTCTTTTATTTCGAGGTGCTGGAGTCCATTTATCTTTTTCGCCACTAATTAATAGTACATTTTTAATAATAGCATCCATTGTAGCTTGTTTATTTGCGAGAAGCGTAAGAACTAAGGTTTCAGATCGAGTGCATTAGGATTCTAAACTTTTTAACATTTTAGTTTTCTCTTCGGAGGGTTGTCAAGGAGTTTAGATTTGAAAATTTCCATATCCTTTCTAAGTTTGTAAAGCGTTTCTATTTCATTAATATAGGCCCTGTCCATAGCCATGTCATCAATTGTTAGATAATCAATGAGGGAGTCAAAAATCGATAAGCATAATTTGCCCTATTCAGCTATAGTCAGTCGTAAAGATAATCAAGAGTCAGTAGATAGTAAATAACCTTTCAGATAGCGAATAACAATAAAAAACAAAAGAACATACTCACTCAAAATTCAAGTAGAATAGCAAAACCTCAGGAGCGGAGAGAAAAAACGTCTTTATCAGCTCAATGAGCAGTTAAGAAGTGAAGGAATTGAGATCACAGTTCATCATTCGTGTAAAAGGCATGCGGCCTGTTGAGGCCTTTACCAATCTATATTTCTTAAGTTCCTAATGGCATAAAGATGAGAAAAAAAAATCTGAACAAGCGGAAAGTCTTACAGCACTGGGTGCGGATCTCATAAGAGAAAGAAGTACGATGCCATCTGTTGACTTCAATAATCTTTAGTAATGGCGCATCTTTGGGGTGACGTTCATGTGGCGCCATATGATGCCATGGGATAAAGCAATGGCATAACTTTGAAGAAGTAGATTTTCAAGAAAAGTTGAGAAAGTTTCTTGAAATTCTCTTTGGCATAAATACAGTGAAGAGCATAAAAATATGTTGCAAAAAAGAGAAACAATTTTGTACAGGTATATGTGCGTAAACAATTCTATCGGGACTCGAATCGGTCATAGAAAGTTTCCAATTGTTTGTCTTATCTGCTACGCCATAGAGCTGTCGCATACAGAATATAATACAATATATACAAATACAGTCCACAAAACCTGCTATATTAGGCACAAAAATGTTCTTTGCAAGGTACGAAATAAAAACTTGGTTAGATATGAATAAAATATAAAACTTATTTAAATGAAGAAAATGAAAAAATATTTTATATAAACAAGCCCTACCATTTAGAATTATGATGGATAGTGCGAGGTCTTTTATGATTTTGCTCTATGACGTAGTCATAATTGCCTAATTTCTTAATGATTTCCTTGTTGTGTTGATCACAT